AGCAAATCTTATGATGAGGATAATTCATTATCTAAAAAATACCAATATAAAGTTACTTGTTCGGAATTCAAGTTCTTTTAATAGTGAATAAACTTCCAATACTTGAGGTAATCATATATGTTAACGCTGAACAGAATTCCACGCGTGCACACACAAAGGCAAGCATGACCAATTTTATATAATATGGGCCGAGAGATTTAGACACGTCCCAATTCTTAGAAGACGGGCCACTTTCACCCTCCGTGAACTGAATCACCCACCAAATTGATTTTGATATGCGCAAGGTAATTTCCCCTTCCGGATCTAACAAGAATAAAGACGACGATGTCAACGACCAAAATGGCGACAACAGGCATTGCCTGTCCGTCTCCACAGGCGACGTAAAGATCTCTAGTCGTCGGGCCGAGCCACGGCATCTCTGTTATAATTTCAACCGGCTGAGGTTGGAGGAGAACAGTTAAGAGAAATTGTGGATTTTAGCTCATAAATGATATTAAGAGATTTCCAGAGGAAATATTACGTTAGTAAAAGTGTCAGTTTTACGAGTGTCGGCACGTATCAGGTCGCCGTTTTAGAATTCGGCTTGGATATGGAATTGAAACCAGCAGAATCAAAGTCTGCACATAAACTAATAAACCGATACAACCATCCTAAGCAACAGAACCCAGTGCTTATAGTGTATATTGACTGCGTAAAATTGGCTACCGGCACGGTATTTAATGACCGCATGCAGGATTTGGTATAAGATGAGTTAGAATCTTTATAACCTGTCTTTGTCGCTTTTAATATGATCCCTAGCTCGTTACTGACTTATGATCGAGACCCTACTTTAACTTCGAGCAATTTCTGTAGATATATGTTTAACGTATCAGACAAAGTAAGCATTGGTAGAGATTTCGATTCCAAAGGACTGCTGCAAAAGTTAAACCTTATTTCTTTTCGGTTTTCTTTCGGGTTGTAGCACCGTATGGTAACCATTTTTTCATACAAAATCCACGCTTGAATCAATACAAAGGAAAACTGAATTATTATATATAATTTACATTATTGTTACGAAACTGATTAACTCTCATTTTCTACACATGACGAATATTTTAAAATCATCTGAAAATGAGTGAAATTGTCCTTGATTTTATTTTCAATAAGTCTGACGTTTCACTACAAATTTAAAAGCAAATATGTTATTAACATTCTGAACAGCATTTATTTTATGAAATATTTCTTCGATGATTTTCCTTAAGATTTCTTTGTCGCTTGTTATATCAAAGTTCGGGTGACGAAAATTTTGAAGTCAAAGGATAAATTCTAGGATTAAACCTGTCTATTAAAACTGGTTTAAACTAATATATTTTAGTTTAGAATAAAACATCTTCACACCAGAGTTGAGATGGAAGTAATATTTATGGAACTTGCTTTTAAAATAAACGAATGACATTCTAAGGTGAGAGAAAAACTGCTGAAATCAGACAATGTTATTGGAAAGGAGAAATGGAAGATCTAGCGATTAAAACCCTTTCTATATATTTTATTCTAAGTAAATTGTTTTCTCTTTAAATTTATCAAAATTATGATCAGACTCATTCCGGAGAGCAACTAATGCATTTAGTCAATGGTTTCATAGAAGATTTCTTTTTTGCTCCTATAATATTTTGACGTTTCTCCTATGTATTTCTTGTGGCAATACGGATGATAGAATAAATTCTGCCTTCAAATCATACATTATTATTTTGTTCTGTTTAATTGTCTTTTAAGTAGTAGCTCTAAAATATATGCTAAGCTTAGATAAATTCTTTACAATTGTAGTTGGGAGAAAGTTGGTTTGTAGACGAATATATTTTAAATAGCTGGGTTCGTCAGGAAGTTTCGCTCATCTATTTTGAAACATTTTACGACCCTTTTGTTTCGAGTTCAAATAATAATTGAAATAATTAGGATATTGGGGACGATTGAAAGTATCAATATATTTCTCCTCTTCATTCAAATATTGAGTACTTTTTAAATCGAATCCGATTATTATTCTAGATGTTATTTTGTTGTTAAGATGATATATATATATATATATATATATATATATATATAAAAATAATAACGTGTAATAAAATTATCTCATAACGTATATATATATATATATATATATATATCAACTAATAAAATTATCTCATAACGTTTTATATATATATATATATATATATATATATATATATATATATATATATGAAAACATATAGAAAATAGGAAGGAACTTGTTAGGTAAAAATCCAAAGTCCCTTAGTATTTTAGTTATTATTTTTTTATAAAATAGTGTTCGATACAAAAGTAGAGCATAAATATAATTATTTATTTAAAAATATGATTCCAAATCGCTACATAAGAGGTCTCATGTTTCAAGACAAGAGCCGAAAATTTCAATATAATCCTTTAAATTAAATTGAGTTGAAATTAAAATGGGCTCCGTTCCATCTTCAAGCGAAATTTTTGTTGGAATAACGAATATCTGAAATTTACTTGTTTTAAAAATTGAAATCAAAATCCCCATGGTAACAGCTAGAGCGAATTGTCTAAATTGGGTAGTATGAATGTAGGTGTTAATAATAGCGATATATATATATATATATATATATATATATATATATATATATATATATATATATATATATAGCTAATAAAAAGTATCTCATAACGTACTATTCTCACCTTAACGAAATAACATCTAGAATAATAATCGGATTCGATTTAAAAGTACTACATATTTACATGATATATATATATATATATATATATATATATATATATATATATATATATATATATATATATATTTCCCAAATTCTCTGTGTCAAATTTCCAAAGCTCTCTTTCATCATTATGTTCCAAAGAAAGTTCTACTATCACTTTCTGATGCGTCGTATAAGTGGACATTTTGTTTCTATTTTTCTAAGAATTTTTTTTTGTTTCTAACGAATTTTCTGTTTTCCTAATGCTTTGCTTAGCTTTTCTAAGTCATCTTTTGCTATCGCAATTCACCTTTGAGTTTACCTTACCACACTCTCTTCAAACAATTCTTAGATATTTAAATGTTTCTACTGCTTGAATTCGGTATTCCCACTGTAAACGTTTGTTTGTTGTACATGTCTTTACTGATGACTGTATATTCTGTTTTCTTACAACTGATATTTAATCATTTCTTCTCGCTTTCCTTTCCTAACTTTTCTATGGTCTGGAACCCTCTAGGTTCGTCTCAAGGTCTTCGACAATATCTAGAGACGGATATGCAATGTGATTGGTCATGATCTGGAATCTAGTCTACAGTCACTTTCTTACAGATGTGCCATCGCTTCCCTCGGTCTTTTCTACAAATACTTTCACTCTGACTGCTCCGATTTCGCTGATTTCGCTGGTTCCCAAACTGCATAAATTTAAGCGTGCTACTAGGCTGGCATCTCAGTCCCACCCTTTCACTGTCGAAACGGTTAAATGTAGCCGTCTCTTCTACTCCAATAGCTTCATGTCTCACCCTTCCCGTCTGTGGAACTCCCTTTATCTTTCTTGCTTCCCTAATAGCTATAACTTTCAATTATTCAAATGCAATGTCAATCGACATCTTCAGATACTGTTACGGGGTCCACCCCTTTTTCATACAAGTGGACTCGACCAGTGTGTACTTGGACTGCTGCCGTTAAATACCCAGAGTCAGTCAGAGAGAGACAGAGATTGTGATTGAGTTGGAGGTAGAGTAATAGTGTGAGGTAAACGCTTGTAGGAGTCACAGTTACAAGCACGTAGACTCAGAAGGAAGTCCTACTTCGAGACTGAATTTACCAGACTGTGTATATATATTATTATTGCTACTAATCGCGTTTCTGGATCTACTAACCGTATTACCAATTATATTATTGTGTAAATACATTTATTTGTTATATTTCATTCCTGCGTTTGTCATTCATTGGAGACCGGATTTCATCTCGTAATCCACAACAGATAACAGATACCTTTATCTAATTCTTTTCTCTATCACACCTCTTTACTTTTGCTCGCACTGTCTGTAACCCCTTGCTTGTTAGTGGCACTCCCGCCTTGCTTGGAGTAAAATGATTAAAAAAAAGGGAGATACTTTAGTTTCCTTTCTGTGGCTAATATCACCACTGTGATTATTAATACTGTGGTCGCCAATGATGAATTCTGGTAGGACTTCTAATTATTTCAAAACTACTTATGAATTGAAATGATTTGATTTTAGCAACCATTTTGCGGTTCCATTTTCTGAACTATCCCAGAAATAAGATGAATATATCAGTAGAGATTTTGTCATGATATTATCAAAAATTACAAAGAACGAGTTCATTTGCCTGGACAAATTTCAAAATGTTAATGACCCTTCTTTAAGATACACGCAAGAAAATAAAAGTGAAAGAAAATGAGTGGCTACAAAATTTTAAAATATGAAAGATAGACAAAAAAAAAAAAAAAATAAAAAAAAATACTTAAATCATATGGAAACCAATAAAGAAAAACGGAAAATACAAATCATGAATAAATAAAAGAATGAATGAAATTTAAATTGCATAATGAGAGTAAAAGGAACAAAGGAGAAGAAAGAAAATATTAATGAAAGTCTAATTAAGGAAATTTAAGAAGAAAATTAAGATCAAGAATTCCTGACTAATTCCTTCTTCTTAGAGTTCCAATGTATTTCTAAGATAAACTCATTTACAATGCCGTTTATAATAAAATTATGTGCAATGATTTCCATAACTAAATCAGTAGAAATGCATTTGCATCATTATAATTTTGAAGCAGCGTTATGTAAATACATGAAAACATTTTTCTGACATTGTCAATAATAATTCCTAACTCACAACAATGTAAGTATAGGTGTCTGCATTTAAAGAAAAAAAAACTTGTAATAAAGAAAGACTGTAGGATAGAAAGAAAATAGAAATAAAATTAAGGAGGAGATAGAAAGAAATAAAAAAGAACGAAAAACAGTAAAAATAGGAAACAATGAAATGGGGTAATTAAGATTAATTAGAAGATAGATAGATAGATAGATAGATAGATAGATAGATAGATAGATAGATAGATAGATAGATATGAGAATTGTGTGATATATATATATATATAGATAGATAGATAGATAGATATGAGAATTGTGTGATAAATAGATTGATAGATATGAAAATTGTTTGATAGATAGATAATGAACAGACTTAGATAGATAGATAGATAGATAGATAGATATGATAATCGTGTGATAAATAGATAGATAGATATGAAAATTGATAGATAGATAAGGAATACACTTAGATAGATAGATAGATAGATAGATAGATAGATAGATAGATAGATAGATAGATAGATATGATAATCGTGTGATAAATAGATAGATATATATGAAAATTGATAGATAGATAAGGAATACACTTAGATAGATAGATAGATAGATAGATAGATAGATAGATAGATAGATAGATATGATAATCGTGTGATAGATAGATATATATGAAAATTGATAGATAGATAAGGAATACACTTAGATAGATAGATAGATAGATAGATAGATATGATAATCGTGTGATAAATAGATAGATATATATGAAAATTGATACATAGATAAGGAATACACTTAGATAGATAGATAGATAGATAGATATATAGATAGATAGATAGATAGATAGATAGATAGATATGATAATCGTGTGATAAAAAGATAGATAGATATGAAAATTGATAGATAGATAAGATGAATACACTAGATAGAGATAGATAGATAGATAGATAGATAGATAGATATGATAATCGTGTGATAAATAGATAGATGTATATGAAAATTGATAGATAGATAAGGAATACACTTAGATAGATAGATAGATAGATAGATAGATAGATAGATAGATAGATAGATAGATAGATATGATAATCGTGATGATAGATAGATATATGAAAAATTGATAGATAGATAAGGAAAAATTGATAGATAGATAGATAGATAGATAGATAGATAGATAGATAGATAGATAGATAGATAGATAGATATGAAAAATTCGAGATAGATAAATAGATATGAATGGTGTATGACAGAGATAGGTATGAAAAGTGTGAGATAGATACATAAGAAAATAAGAAAAAAGTGTGAAATAGATAGATAGATAGATAGATAGATAGATAGATAGATAGATAGATGAGAATACGAAAAAAGAAAAAGAAAAAAGGAAAAGAAAAAAATGAGGATAATTTAGAAAAAAAGAAATAAAGAACCAAATAAATATAGAACTTACAAAAAAAATTATGGAAAACAATAAAAATAGGTAGGAAAAAATGAAACTTAATAAAAGAAAGAAAGAAAGAAAGAAAGAAAGAAAGAAAGAAAGAAAGAAAGAAAGAGAAAATGCGAAGAAATGATGAGCGGAGTGAAGAAATGGAAATTAACTAGAATTTGAAAAGAAAGAAACAAGCAAACAAAAGAATAAAGAAAAGTGAAAGCGATGAAAAGCAAACTGAATAGATAAAAAGGAAGTAGACGCAATTATAGAAGATTGAAAAAGAACAAGACGAATAAGAATATTCGTAGGAAATAAAGAGTATGAGAAATGGAATAAAATATAAAAGAAAGAAAGAAAGTATTGAAGAAAAACCTACTGAAGAAAGAAAGAAAGAAAAGAAAAAAAAAGAAAGAAAGAAAAAAAGAAATGCTGACGAAAACAACGAATTAAAAATATGTCACAAAAGCCGAAATGGAGAAAGACGAAAGAATGAAGCAATGAGGGAAAAGAAATATAATCAAAAATAGAGATGAAGAAAGACAAACGAGACATAAAGAAAATAAGGAATAATTTAAAGAAAGAAAGAAAGAAATATGGAAGAAGGAAAGAAGAAATAAGTAAAGAGAGTAAAGAAAAGAAAAAGATAGAAGCTAAACATATGTAACCAAAAAAGTTAAAATAATGTAGGAAAGAAAAAAAGTAGAAACTAAGAAAGAAGTAAAAGTAATTGAAAAAAGATACGACAGAAGAAGCGATAAGCTAAGTCAGAAAAAAAAAACAGCAATGGTGCCTCAGTAAATAAAAACATAAAAACAAAAAATACAAAATCAAATATGACGATGCAGCAAAAACAGCGAAAAAATAAACGAGTTAAAAGAAAGATACCGCATAACCATGAAAAAAAATAAGAGCTGAAAAACGAGGAAGGTTCGGGTTCGCAGTGAACGTAAACATCAACCCGGAAGGCTGCTGAAAATGTCTAACATTTATATCTTTCTTTTTCTACCTTTCCTATGATGTCTTTCGCATATTTGTCGTGCGGTGCTGTTGATTCTGGTTTTGGGTATCTCTTCATAAGCTGACGATTAGTTTAGAACGTCATGGGTTTAGTTTTCTCAGCACTGACATTCTCAAGAAATTAACAAAAAAAGAAAATCAAAGGAAAAAAAAGAAGTATCCAGTTTGTTTATGCACGTCAAGTTCGTAATCTAATTAATCAACGACCAGTTTAACAATCAGGCGACAAAGCGGCAGTGAGCTCCATTTCATCTGCTTTTATATAACCCATATATAGTACCGTTCCGATCATGAGATTTTTCAGAGACTTGACTTGACCATAATATCATCCTTGGAGAAAAGGTTTTCAAAAATAATTGAAAAATATCAAAATAATTATTGCCTGTCGTTTATGATTTAAAAAAAAAAGCGTTTATAAAATAACTTCGTGAAAAAAACACGAGGTTGTCTCTTTTCTCTCCACCCAGAGTTGAATATTTGGGTAAACACTGCCCTCTCGCCTTGGCTGACAGTCAGTCTAGGGAATGAACTATTCTGAATTAAAAACTACGGAGAACACAACGAGAAAGCATTATATCTCCCAAGAAGTTATGGAAATTCATAGATAATAAGGAAAAAAGTATCTCTGCGGAGCCATGATCATTTATGTTTTGAAGGTAAATTGCATTAAAAAAATTACAATGCTGATTTGTTCAAAATAATTCAGTATTGTAATATAGGAAGGATACTTAACCGATATTATGTTTTTTGCACAATGAGTAAAAGCATACATATATAAATATTAAATAAAATAGTAAATGCAGATATTCGATTACAAGTCTACTCCCCTACTTCATTTACGTGATATCGATTCAGTTAGTTTTAAAGGGATTAATTCATCTTACTTATTATAAAACGCAGATTGTGTGTGTGTGTGTGTGTGTGTGTGTGTGTGTGTGTGTAAGTTTATATATTGGATCGGATTTTCTACATTTTTTAGCCGATTTCAACAAATTTCACAGGACTACATAAAATGACCTTGTGGTGGTTCTAACAGCGCCGAAAATGGGAAAAACACAATTGTTTTTTAACAAAATCAATTTGAAAACACGATGAGGACACATCGTGAGAATGAAAGGGGGACAATTCACATCGTGTTAAAAAACCCACGATGTGTGTGTGTGTGTGTGTGTGTGTGTGTGTGTGTGTGTGTGTGTGTGTGTGTGTTCCTGATCAGATTTCCTACATTTTTCAACCGATTTCAACAACACTTCACTTTTTTTTGGCAGGTAGTGTTTCTTATTGTCTTGCACACTTTTTTCTTTATTTATACATTCAGAATGCTTTAAAAATTCCATTTACAAGACAATTGTTTATAATAAAATTCTATTCATCAATCGATAGACTCATAACGATTGTAAACAATGTTTTTGTTTGAGTTTGACCAATTCGTAAAAGAAAAAACTAATTAAGACATGCGTGTCCGTCAACCTTAAACAATAATCTTTGTCAATTTTATTTTTCAGTTTTTATGATGGTCGATACTTGATCTATCTCTTACTTTTATATCCCCAGGCAACGCCGGGCTCTACTGCTAGTGTCTTATATTATTGTTGAGAGCATACAATAGCTGCATTTACTTCAAGGAAAATTTTCTCGACAGAATCCATCTTGCACATTTGCAAATCTACCATTCGTCTGTGTTTTGAATACTGTTGCCATATCAAGTCTGGTTTCCTTGCTGTACATCTCGAGATTCTTGGCAAAATCCAAAGAAGGATCTCTAAAGTAATCGATACTAACCTGGCATCTCGACATTCACAAATCTACCACTGAGTAATGTTGCCATATCTGGTCAGGTGCTTCTGCTGCTCACCTCGAGGTTCTTGAAAAAATCCAAAGAAGGCTCTGCACTGTAAACGATTCTGACTTGGAATCTCGACTTCCGCCACTTTCTCACCGACGTAACGTGGCTTCCCTCTGTATTTTCTACAAGTATTTGCATGGTAACTGACGACGTTTTAGAACATTTTATTGCTTTTTTAGATCATTCTTATCGCATCTGTGAATATTTCTTTCATCGGCATATCCCCTTTAATCGGGAGGAAAAACATAAAACTTGTTTACTATTTGTAGGGCCATTTGGGAGGTTGTATGAAATGCTTAAATGGACAATGTTTATCTCTTTGTGTTTGTATAAGCACAGTGCATAGTCTAAGAAAATATATTCTTTGTATAATTTTTTTTCCTTTTTACTTGCTATAAATTACAAATTTAAAATTTTCGGCCACCTCTGCAGCCTTCGTCAGTGCTTGATTTTGAATACTGTTTTCTAATCTAGCCTAAATTTCAAATACAATGGATATTAATGACCTCAGTGCGAAAATCAGCAATCACTTGGACGCAGCACACGATAAAGATTGTTATTGCATCTTCTCTATTATTTTCCCCTCATATGAATCTGTAACTCACACTTACACTGCCAGGGCAACCTGCTAGTTGGGGCTCTTTTCAAAGCTACAAATTACAATAAAACATTCCTTTAACTTCAGACTCATACATAGAAGACTCACACATTCCGTCTAGTGTTGTCTAAATTACGCAAGAATTAAAATAATACTGACGCCTCATTTTAACAGATAAATTTACCAAAATGACACAAAATATCTTGAAATACTAAAGTGTAAATTTATTCTATAAAATCGCCATTAGCTTCAACTACAGATTCCAGACAACTTCGGAATCATATGCACCTCTTCTGGACGGTCTCTATGTTCAAAATGGTGAATTCTGCCATAATCCTTGACTTCAGTTCATCTTTAGTGTTACAAGGAGTTTTGTTGGTTTTTCGTTCAGCTTCGCCCGACACAATAATTAAGGTCTGGTGAGTTAAGTGACTAGATATAAGGGGTGATGTGCTCGCAGAAATTGTTTGAAGTCCATAAATGTGTTCTCCTGCTTGTGTGGCATGCGTCTGTCAGCAGCCAACCTCTTGACCCAGCACTATTTCCTCAAGGCACTTGATGTAGGCCACTGTGTTTGATTCTGACAAATTCGGTAATTTTTTTTTTCTTATCAGAATAATCAGTGAGTATTCTGAGCTGCCATGCCTTCATAATCAACAGTAGACTCATCCAACTCTTTTCAAATCATCTGGAATTACACACAAATACTCTGAAATCTTTGTATTGGAACTTGCATACTGTTTCCAAATTTCTGGCGGAAAGAATTGCGTCATGGCGCTCTTTATCTAACAGAGAATGTACAACTGACATTACTACACTGTGCAGTAAACAAAATGAAAAACAACCTACGCGCAATTTACCCATTGTAACATGTATAACCACTAACCCTACACTATTCACGCCTTCGATCTAGTGACGACACTCCACATAAGCCAATGAATACACTGCAAAATAAATAGCATTTGATGTAAATTTGAACTCTCATATTATATTTGCATTCTAAATATATATTTATCCGCTTTTAAATGATGCATTTATGTAGAATAATTTAGGTAATCCGACACTGAAATCTGAAGATGGATTGAGATAGCAGAAGTTGCATTCAGAAGGCTAAAGAGAGTATTAAGAGACATAAAAACAATTCATTAGAAACGAACGAAAGTGTAATGAACGATTACGTGATATTTGTCCTCGTTTATGACAGAGAATACTGGATAATCTCTCTAAAGGTGCAGAAGAGCCTTAAGGCAACAGAAATGTTGTTCTACAGAAGGATGTTGAGTATAACATGATAAGAATATGTGAGCAAGGCGAGGTTTTAGAGAGAATGGATACAAATGAAACTTATACATAACATCAGGAAGACACTGTTGAAATTTCTGGTGCACCTTATGAGGAAAGAGGGCTTGGAAAATCTGATACACACAGGTCAGATTAAGAGCAAAACGGATAAAGAAAAACAACTCATATACTTGGAGAGCTTAAGTGAATAGATAGTAGAACAAGGTTTAGTAGAAATAACGAAAAGAGAACATTTATTAAGAGCTGCAGTGGACAGGAAATTGTGGAGAGCTATGACCACCTACGTCTTAAGTGAACGCGGCACATATATATATTACATGTATATAAGTGATTTTAAATATATAAACTGATCTTATAGCTAATACATATTTTTCTTCTTTTTATCGCTCTTCACTTTCCCCGATCCCATACAGCTCTCAACAAATTCCGTACTTCTACCACCTCCCCCAGACTACGTTCTGTCATCCGTTGTTTAAGCCCGCCCGGTATGTTATGCGTTGTTTTCCGTTGTCTCTCTTCTCCTCTATTCGACCCGTGAGTATCAGATAATCCAGGCCCTCCTTCCTCATTGTAGGTCCCAGAAACTTTAGCTGCCTCTTCCTGTTGCTAAGTATAGCCTCTTCTTGTTTGCATTCTACGATCACATCGTTGCTCACGCGCTCGGTCCATGATATACTTAGCATCACTGATAAATTATTCCCATCAAATTATGCATCATTTAAAAGAGGATATAAAATCAGCCATATATCTAACGGAATATGTGGTATGGTGTAGGGAATAACGGCTCGTAATGCGAAATCGGAAAGCAGAGTTCGAAGTCCAGTCGGTTTCATTACAATTACGCGCAAAGCCTATGGGAAAGCTATGAATCCATCTCTACTCCTTACAGCTATGTATTGAATAGCATTATCCCGACTGTCTTATAGACTTTATTGGCAACAGGTCTATCGCAGAAAGAAAAGGCAACTTATTAAAAACAAAATTTTTAAAAACAAAATCTGACTCCAGGTAACCAATATGTAAAACTATGTTTTTTTTCTTTCCACCGTGAATCCATTCGAAACTGGAAAAATTAATTAAAACTATGACTTCAAACAAAAGCCATTTTCATTACATGCCCCCAGAATTTTCCCAGAATTTTCAACATTCCTGTTATTTATATATTTATAAATATATATATATATATATATA